TATACGTCCAATGCCAATTTTCATTTTCGTTGAGTGCAGATGATTATTTATTTGTTTCTTTAGAAATGTCGCGTAAAGTAAAACCTGCGGCTCGTTAATTTTGTGAAATCGGTTTACCTTGAGCTCGTATTATTGAGATCAGAGGAGTAGACGTAGGAGCAAACAATTTCGGCCTTTTTTTTCCTTATTGAAATCGGCCGCCCGGAAGGAAAGGATAATAAAAGGAGAACCACACACGCGCTCCAATACCAATGCGCTCTTTGAAATTGCAAATGACGAATTATGCAAATGCTGGATTGTATTCATAAGGAATGATCGAGACCTGCATTAGCATATCAATAGATATTACAGTGTTTTCGAACACATTACGGGGTTACGTATGGTGGATCTCTTTTCTTTTTTTTTCCTTTTCCGCATATCGATTGTTGATACGTAATTAAAACTTGGCACAATTGTACTTCCGTTCTCATGTTTTTCTTAGAATTGCCCTCTAACGAAAACGCTTTTCATTAGCAATGAAAACCGTTTTGGCAATACCGTTTTCATTTTCGGAAATCCTTGTGACGCACATAAACAAACAAAGAATATTATTTTTTGTTTGCATTTATAATAAGATGCAACGAAGTACCAAGAGAAAAGATGAATATTAGAAAATTTCATATTTTTTGGCGGGAAAAACCCAATTTTGATAGATAAAAATGGAAACTAAAACGTTTATTACTATTTAAGGAAAATAAAGTTTGCTTTTCATAACATTGAAAAAGTAATTAATTTATAACACTTACTGTACACGGTTTGTTCTTTTATCTAATATTTAAATTGCTATTGAAATATTCAGAAGTCAAAGAATATGTAAATAAAATATGTGTAGTTAATAGACGATTTGGATTGACATGAGAAGTATTGAAGAATTGAAACTTATGCTGAAAACCCCACAGCAATTATTCATGAAACAGATGTGCGTTTCAGGAGACACATAAATTGTCGAACGCTATTACTGAAAGTGAAGTATACATCATTGAGAAACGCTATTCGAGAATCTAAATTTACCTTGATACATGGTGCTTCGTCTCGCTTCTTTCTCGGTGATAAATGGAATCAATGATCAAAAAATGTGTTGATACTTAAAAATAGGCAATAAACGCATTCCCAAGGTTGAGAGTCCCACAAATGAAAAACAATTGTCGCGAAATCTCGGACAAAGGACGAATTCAAGGATCAATTTACGTATTTCCCATTTTCAGATCTTGCAGTTTTGCTTCATTTAATTACAAGTTGATCATTTATCAAATTAAAACAATTTACAAAATATTTAAAGTATATTACAATATAAAGCATTTCTTTGCGTCATCTGTGACATCCTAAATAATTCTTACGTATATTGATCCCTAATCATTTGTCCTGTCGTGCTCAAACAACATGAGCTAGTTCATTATTCAATCGGTAATTTGGCTAATAAATAATGATTTGTTAGGAACTGAAAGCACGTGTATAGAACATCACCCAATTTTATTTCAGGGTATAAGGAACACATTTAGCATATTGATTATGTGGAACTAACATAGCTGTTGCAAAATCTTTTCCTAGCACCCACAAACTGTCAACGACACTCAGCAATACGCAAACTCATTAAAACAATTCGAGGAAATAGATTGGATCCATTTCGCTGTACTCTTCGTTAGAGTATTCTGCTTATGACATGTAAACAGCGCATCACATGCAGTCTGTGGTGAGATGGACCATGTGCAATAAACAACGTGGTCAGATTTGATGTTAAGAGAACGAAAAAAAAATGCTTTACACAACTCACGTTTTGTGTTATCACATTTTATTGTCCTTATCAGGAATATATTAAAAAAATATTACGTTCAGATGCTATAAGAAATCTATAAGAAAATTAGTTTCATTTTGTACAGTACCTTTATTTGTAGATGTTATTAAAACGCTCTTACGCTGTTACGGAGACAAAAAAAAAATCACTTAACAACACATCTTTTCTTAATTTTTTTGTAGGTAATATTGAAAATGAAATTAGGGATGTATCCAATTTTTTTCTTAATTATAGACATGGTCGCTGAAACTAATTTAATCTTCATGTATAAGTTACAGTTACAGATGACCTGCAACTGGGACATGCAAGTCCAAAACTGAAGACAAAGTTAGTAAATTTGGATATAAGAAATTTGTAATTGTATCAATAAATGGTCACACAAAGAAGAAGTGAGGACATCTTAAGGACATGGTCAATATTTGTAATAAAATCAAATATTTCTTATGATTAAATATTGATAAAATTGATAAATATAATTCTCTAGAAAAGCAAAATACTTGGGTTTGTTTTCGCCTTATCGTAACGCGCGATATTTGTTGAAGAAAGTCATGATAACGGGAGTACTTCTTCAGTGTGCCGAAATAAGAATTTGATTACAGGATATGCGTATCGAAAAGCACGTAATGAATTGTAATTTAGCTCGCGTTTCCAGTGGCAAGAGAAAGTACCGCACTTTTATTGTCTGCCAAACCATCATCCACTTGAAACGAACGACAAAATAACCTAAGCAATTGTAAATCTTTCCTCTACCTGACCCCATTGTAGATGCGACAATTGATAATTATGAGTAAATGATCATTTTATGGGAAGTTTTCATCCCGTGTTCTGAATGGAAGAAATTAATTACATCTATTTACGTTTGTTAATTAAAATGAAACTTTTGATATTCGGCACGGATTTCTGCACTTTGTTTTAATGTGTTGTTTATACTTCATCTTGTTTATTTTCACGACGTCATGTTTTGCGCAAATGCCAAATAGCTCTTGTTGCCGACCAAAATAAAACTTTTTACATTTTTTTTTTAATCTCGTTTCGCCTTTGATCAATAATATTTTGTACCCAAAGGTAAACGCCGCATTTTCACGGCGAGCTGAAACAATAGGCGTTACAAAGTTTGCGCCGCGCTGTAATTACATGTAATAATAGCAAACGATTACAAGAAGACAGAGGATTCTGTTTCAAAGCTTTTATTTAAAAAAAAAGGAACCAATTATAAACAGATTTTAACTGTGTCTTCAACCATTTAACTAAATTACCAATACACATAGTTGTTTCTGTTATTATAAGTTGACTTGTAATATTACAAAAAATAATTCTAAGTCAATCCATTTCAGATATGAATGCTTGTTGCGCAACATATTAAAGGCTATCAACCTGATTGATTAAACGCTTGTGCAAAATGAAATCGTATAAAATAATTAAATGTAATGCAACATTATCAAATAATATTCTACCATTTGAATATTTCAATTTAGAGTATTGAAGCTGAAACAGAGATCCGGAAAACGGAAGAGGTTTATTATCACCACAGGAGAGAAAAATAAAATAAATTGATAAGTCGAGTTGACACGTCGGGAGGAAGTGAAACAATGCTTTAAATTGGACGTAGGGATCTTGCGGAGGGAAAGTTTAGATTGAAGTGACGTTTCGATGCGAGCGGCAAAGCCTCTGGATTAAGGGCTTCTTCATACGCGCTGATAGTGAATTACGCGCGCTGACCTTGAGCATTGGATTCTATAACACCCCGCTCGAAATTCTATTCTATTATTAAAGAACCTTGTTAGCAGGAACTTCGGTAATTGAAGCACGAACTTCTTCTATAATTAAACTACCCCAGCTCTATAGGTAGCAAAACCAAAATCCGATAATTTTTTGTACCGATCTAGAAAGGCAATTGTAGCTGTCAAAAAAATTATTCATAATAATCGCAGAGGATTTCAACAAGTCCACCCAAACATCGGATCAGGATAATGGCGTGACCGACCAGCATCGACGAACTTATAAACAACCTCCGGCGATTTCGATTATTCATCGTTCGGATTGCATCATTTCGCATAATTAGTCGTCTGCGTGATGAGTTTTTGTTTGCATTTTGTTCTCTTCTTTGTTTTGATTCGGTACAATCGCTATTTCGCTTTCCACCGTTCTGATTATTTGCAAAAAAACAAAAAATAACACGACGTGGAAAATAATGAGTAAGAAATTGCCGTGTAATCAGATAGTAATCATGTCAAAGCAACAACAAACTTATTCCTCGTACTTGCTATTATATTCATTTTTTTTTGTTTAGAAAAATAATTGACCGTAATTGTTTAATAGCTCGAATTAAACTGGTTTTATGTACGTGTATGCAATGCTCTTCATTCAAACTGCCTTCGAAAATAGTTGTCACTAAAATTAAGAAATTAAAATTCTAATTACAATTACAATTAAGAAACGAAACGTACTTACTTCATAAAATAAACAATTCTTACTTTTATTTTAGATAATATATGATAATAACTATATGCTTTATGTTATTATAAACTTATTATTATAAACACAAGTTTTGTCTTATTAGATCTTACAAGACAATGGTTTCGCTTAAATTGATTCTACGAAAATTTTCTAAATAAGAGACCAAAGAAAAGTAACTATTAATTATTGTTTCGATTTTTATATTAAATTATCAAGACGTATAGGTTTACTATTATTAATAAACTACTTTTAATTCGCTTCTGCTAAATTGGGAATTGCAAATAAGAGACCTGAGTAAATTACAGTTTGAAGGGTATTTCAATGAAAAAAGCAATTGTACCGAACGTTAATTAGTCCGTTACTTTAATGAATATAAATCGCTTTTCTCTATACGTTTCAATTAGGTTCGTCCTATATAATTTGCAACTACCAAATCAATAATCGAATTGTAATTAGTCAACAAACTTATAGTCAATACCTTCAGACTTCTTTATTAGTTCATCAATCATTTCACTTGAATATTTAATAAAGCAAATTGCATTATTATTTATTCATCTATGAAGATGTTAACAATACCCTGAATGGTTTTCCCATTCAAATTGAAACAAATCACACAAAGCATTGTGAATGTATTTCATAGTTGGACCAGGTAGCAATTCCAATTGGAATATATTCCAATTGGATTTACAACTTATATTTGAATTCCACTTACCTCTTGTGTGAGTTCCAAAGAGTTATCAACATTGCTTTCCCCAGGACTCTCAGCTGGTTCAACAGTAGGTTCTTCAACAGGGGGCTGTGTTGGTATTTCAGGCAAGATTTCAGCTGCTGTTCTGTCCACATTGAGAAGGTACGCAGTGATATTGGGTTGGTGGATGTTGGCTCTGTGATATCTCCCCAAGGAGTTGAGATCCGCAAACACTTCCCTTTCATAATTCATGAGTATAGTGTCAAGACTCTTGGGATGGACATAGTGAGACCGGAGCAGACTGGGCCCCATTGATCTCCAGCTAGTGCCATTGTCCAGATCATAATTGTTGACTGAAGACAGGATGTCAGTCTCCAGGTGAGAGTCAGGATGAGACCTGAGAAGGCTGAGGATGAGGGCGAGCTGCAACAGCTCGTCGCAATACACCTTTTTCAAGCTGAGCATCGTCGTTCGCTTGTTGTTATCGCACAGGTTTTGAGGTTAAACTAAACGGGTCTCTGCATTTCACGCTTTGTTTACGCCGACATCGTCTTCGATCAACAGTTCGTCTTCACTTTCTTAGCAGCGTGTGCGATCTACAAGTAAAAAACAAAAAAACGCGCACACAGTTTTGATGGTGTGTACTGCAGAGATGGTGTTTGAACCGGTGCTGGTAGAGACCGGATCGTCTGTTTTGCAAGTTTCACCTTTTGTGTCGCGGCCTCGGTGTGGCCCAAATGTTGTACACGAATGTCAGGGGTTCGTAGCCTCTCAGCTGAGTCGTATAGGTTCGAAATCGGTAGAGTGCAACGTCGTTGCAGTTGAACAAGAGACACAAACAAAACTTTACACCTGATCACTTGACAAGTCGGAGGTTTAATCGCAATGCTGCCCGATAGTACACACGAAGTTTTGGAGGTTGCGCAGTGGAGTTATATATACCAGTGACGGAGAGGCTAGAACCTCGAAGAGGGGTCTCCTCAATAATACCAGGCAATGAGGACTACTCTTCGGGTCTTCGTCAATTCGCTAAAGGTACCGAAACCGAAGTGCGGAAGGACGTGCAGGTTAAGGATATTCTCCTCGGAGAAGTTGTCGCGCAAACGCAAATCGTGCGGAGAGTAAAAGAACTTGCAACAAGTTTTATGATCGTCGCAAACTTTACCGATACATAATACAAATAATTACCTGGCATATGATCTTCTGCTCTTCGGCTAGGCTCAGAGATAGGTACACTTTTTCTTCCATAATTCCAAACAATCGGAGCACTCAAAACGAACCCATTCCACGTTTAAAACAAAACAAGCGCGCGCTTTTTTTTTCCTTTTTGCGCTCCCTCTTCTTCCCTGCAGCGGTTACGTCAAACCGGCTGCCCTCTGACCCCGATCAACGATTCCACAGGAAGCGGACAGAAAAAAATCGACTGTATTTAATTATTTATTTATATGAAAGAGCAGGACAATAACAAAAAGAAAATGAAGGAAAATAATTGTGGCACGCACACGGAAAGCGGTCCCGATTGTTCAAAGCAACTTGTGGAACTTCCCATTCATGGCGAACGGCGCGCTATCTTTGCACTGCACATAATAAATTCCCCTTGAACTGGAAATACAATTGTACATTAATTAATATGGAAAGGCATAAAGCAACGCACCTTTTCGGCGCGTGGTAACCCATCGGTACCAGGTGATTATTCCTGGTGCAGTCGGACCACTCCAGACCCGGACACCTCTTCGATTTGAAACCGGTGCTGGTAATAGACTCGGTGAAGTAGAGAATGGACCGTAAGTGGCTGCACGTCACTGTAATAGAGTCAACCTGAATTGGTGGTGCACGCAACGAAAACATTTCAATTAAAACTAATTAAAGACATCGAAACTGCTACCAAACTGGAAATGCCAATCAATTTCAAAAAGGAAATTCAACTACGTGCTTTCGATTACTTTAGTTCCGTTAGATATACCATTTCATATCGCTGAAGAACCGAAAAGGACATGATCCAGAATCCTTACGTTTTTCACGATATTGCGTACTCTGATATTATTAATATCATGTAAAATATGTCTAAATGACTTGTAAAATTGTTATGAGATTTTAATTATACAAAAAATGTCATATAGTTAAGTATTATATCCGACACTTGTTGCTTAACTTTATAAATGTTAAATATAAGTAAAATTAAGAACAATTTGTTTTTCATGCATATATCAAAGTTAACTTAACAATCCTGCGTTATATTTGTTAAATATTAACTGTAAATTACTTACTATTTAGTAAGTTGTTGTTTTCCAAACTTCTAGAAAGAATTAAATTTACATGTTGCTAAAAAATATTTACATAAAATATTAGACTAAAACAGGGTACTGTAATTGAAGTTGCATGTTATTGTTGAAGCTTGCTACATTCACAAGTTACAGCGGTAATTGCTAATTTATAATATAATATTTTCACGAATATAGCATTAAAAATATAAAACATCTGAAAAATGAAAAAAATATTTAAATTATTATTAAAATTCTTATATAAAATGTTTTAAAATCGGAGTGCTTGAAGTAAAAAATAGTACTACTTAAATTTCAAGTTCGATTGTAGAAAAATTGTATTAATTTTCTAATTATATTTCAATAAGTGGCAATGGTAAAACAACTGCAAGTAAATTACCAAACATTTGAATTGTATGTTATTTAATATTGTGTACGCTTTCAAGTGTGTTATTATTATAAACTTCAGTAGCAGGGGATCGTCTTTACGTTCCTGAAAATATGAGACCCGTTTTACCTGCGGAACGACCATAAAGTACAAATCTTACAAAGGGGCCATTGTAAATCTATAACAATAAATTCGAAACAATTTTACAATCGACAGGTCATAAAACTGATAGCTTTCACATTTATGGGCAGATGTTAACATGTATTGACTTGCTAATCGATAAGTTAATGGGTTTTGCTTAATAACCTGTTACTATAATGTTATCGCATCCGGGCTGAGGGATGGCCCCTCCGTTGGGATAGAAGTCCGCGTGTCCTATTGGCTTCAAGACGCCAAAGAACCACGAGGCCGTGTGGATGACGTCCACGAAGTTCGCATCACCCGAATCCAAGGATAAAGAGTTGTTCACTTCGCCCAAGAATTCGTAGCCAGGACCAGCCGGATCCAAGCCTAATTAGAAAAAGGATTACAAAAATAGTACCGACGCTGATTATAAAAAAAATTATAAAATATAATTCGAATGCATTATTTTCAAATTTTGATGTGATATTGCGTAGAATATTTGTTGTTGTTAAATGTTAGATAGTAAATCACCTGTTATTCTTCCGATTTTTCCATCTAGACAATCTCCCGCGATTCCCGCGACGTGAGCACCTAGACTGTGCCCAATCAAGTGGACCATGGATAAGTCTGTATCGAGGTCCAACAGAAACCGGGCGATCTCCTTTCCAACTTGGTAAGTATTGCTCATGGCAGTAAAGTAGATTTGCTTAGCCGCGCGGCTCCAATCCACCACGATTAAATTAGCCTCCACGTTGGCGGCGAACACTTAAAAGAGACACGTTTAAACCCGATCAGGTACCTCAAGTACCAAAGATGCTGGTCCACAATACTTTGCCTTAGGTGCTTGAACACCTCGCGTTCTTTGCTATCCGTGTACCCGTGGATGATTAGGATCGTAGGGATAGATTTGTTGTATACAGTTTCCCGAACACCATAAAACTCATCCAACTTATGCTTGTTGCTGTTGTCTACGTGCAAGAAGTAAGTGACCACCAGATGCATATTGCTCTGATAATCAATTTCGGTGCCAAGTGCGAAATCATAAAAGCTCCTCAGCTGTGTCAGCAGCTTCTCTTTGATCTCGTCCATGGTTCCGGTGCACACTCCAACTGGAAAACAAGATACTTATTCCCTAGTATACAAATTGTTCAAAACTACTCACTCAACAAGAACAGTCGGATATAATTCATTTTAATTAATCATATAGTTCACATGTATTACACGGGATTATATAATGTTGCAATATAGTTCTACTTCAAATATGAAATAATAAAAGAAAATAAAAATTGTTACGAAGTGTAACAATATACACCGATTATTTTAATAGTACTGATATAATACTTATACGTCTTGGTCATTAGTGAAACACAATAGACCATTATTTTTAGCAATTATGCGAATTAAGCGCATATGATGCAAATCGGTCAAATCGTAATGTTTGTTCATGAACCTCTCGCATTTCACGAATGAACGAGAAGGGTTGTAACGGATTCGCAGATGTTGCGAAGTTAAATAAGAATTTCTCTGCACAGCCAATCCTGCCATAGCAGTCAGTATAAAATAAACATTGTTGTTAGTCAAACGACTGATGTTAACTGTGATCATACGCTTGAGTCCATTCAAAACTTCAACGAACTTCACCCTTGGCGAGACATCTGCGTAAAGTCTCAAGCGACTTTTAGTGATAACATCGAATTGTGTTGCTAAGAAAGCCTCGTCTGGTGCAATAGCTTCCAATCCCAAGGTCTGATCAGGGAAAGCAATCACGTTCTCGTTGTGCGATCTGGTCAAGAGACTTGCGAATAGTAATTTGCTCTCTTGCTCGCACTTTCTAGTTGGACCATGGTATCCCTTCAGCAAGGAAAAGAGCCTCGGGTGCCACAGAAAAAAGTCGAACAGGCAAAGATTCTTGTAATTATCGTTCGACGGGAAAATGCGTTTCACCAAATCATTGAACAAATAGTTCACAGCATTTCTACAAAAAAAAGTATTAATATTATATGATTATTATGTACGGATATAGTACTCACTGGACAGAAAAAGTGTTAAATTTGGTGCTGATGTATAAACAGAAAATAACAACGTCTTCCAAGTGCGATTCGGTGCAAGTCTTTAAGGTCGAATCGGTCATCATTTCATCCAAGCAATACAATATTATACAAATATTGTCATCATTGATAAGAGAAACATCTGTCATGGTTTGTACAGCATTCTTAACGAATTCCTAGTAATAATTCATGAATTAATTAATCATGGACGCATAATTATTCTAATTCCGCAATACCTTTTTTGAAGCGTGGTCAGCGCTGGTGCACAATGCTAGTAATACAATTCTATGTTCCAATGACCTCCTCAATCTGGCGGATGGCAAACGCGCAGAATTGATCAATTTATGCAAAGCATAATTGTAATACTTGTTGTAGAACGTTAGGTAACTTGTGAATGAAGTTTGAATAAACTTAGTTAAGTAGATCTGAAGTTGAGCAACCGTGGATCGCATATTGCAAACGAGTCCTAGCTCCACAAGTTGGAACATATCATCAGATGGAACTCCCATATGGAGATTGATTTCGAATGCAGTCTGAAGATTAGTAATCCGGTGAATATTCATGACCTTGAATGATCTCGTACTATACTTACAGATAAAGATCTTTCGGCCAACTTGATCTCATCCTCATCGTGATTCTCTAAACTCTCAAATTCTTCCAGAATATTCAATATAAGCTGTTTGATGTCTTCGTTAAACGTGGCTTGCACTTCGCCGCCCATCTTAACGTAACGGCACAACACGAGTAAGCAAGATACCAGGTGGCATTCAATCTTAATGGTGCGCAAAGTTAAACTCTTCTCCAAGCATGCCAAAGCTTGGGTTATGATTTTTGTTTTTAAATTATCGGAATAGTACTTCATTCCGAACTCCATAAATTTGGTAACAGTGGATTCGATATATGCGTCTGGCTTGTGGATGACTTCTTGGTATATGTACTCGATGTTGTAGTACGTTACAATATCAGCAGCGTTATCAAGGATCATGAATAATGACAGTATGGCTTCAGCATTGTCTTCCTTAATATTAGCGACGAGATCGATGATGTCTTCTCGACTACCGAAATCCCAATTGTTTTTGTATATTAAGTAGTCCAAAAATATGCAGTCAACAATTTCCTTTGGGAATCCAGACGGCAATTTGACACGTTTATCTTTGTAGATAGATTCATATATGATGGAATAAATCAAGACTCCTTTACTGACACGTTCATGATCTTCTTGTTTCAGTAGTTCCATGGCCATATCGTGCAACGTATTTATCATGCTCAGAAACATATCTATATTCCCGTTCGTTTTCAGAATTGTAGTGCATTGAATGTAGACATTGCAAATGAAGTATGGGAAAGTCCCCAACTCCTTGCACGTGAAATCTTTTACGCAGTCCAACACATACTGAATTTCGTCGGGAGTATAAGGTTTCCGGTCTCTTTTCTTTGCAATGATCTGGAACTGCATGCACCTCATTTTCTCGCAGTCGTTAAAAGCCAATTCAATGGAATTCTCGACCATGCTTTGCAATTTAATTTCCACGCAAAGCAAGGCATCGCTGTTGACACGCGTTCGGATGTAAGTAAGAACCTGACGAATACAGGCATGTCCACGCAACTTGTATATAGCCGGAATCAGGTAAGTCAGGATGTTGTACAAGAGAATTGAGCTGAAATATTCAAAAATTGTTATTTGAATATATTATTAATGTCCAAACGGTCCACGAATTCTTATGGATTAAAGAAAATGAATAGAATATAAGTCAATCGTATAAATACGAAACGCTGCAAAATAATATACGTACTCGACGTCAGGGGTGTCCTCTATGGCGTTAATAATGTTGCGCGCAAGTATCACAGAGTTCAGCAAATGATGAACGTTCTGAAACAAATACATCGCGGCTTTAACAAATTCTTTATGATGCAACGCAATCAGAAGAATTTCTCCATAGTATTTGCCAGTAAATTTCGAAGTGCAGTTGAGCTCTGTGACAATATACAGCTTGAATTCGCTGATCATCAGTTGTTTTATTTTTTTGATATCTTCATCTTCAAATGGTATTCTTGGTAGCATTACAGCTAGTAGTTTCTTCGGTAAGGTTCCTTCGCCGCCGTTCATCTTCTTTCTTATGTATGGCACGAGGTTGTAGAAATCAGCTTTGGACACCCTTGCCTGTCCACTGTAGTGATTAATCAGATTGTTAAAATCAGGATTGGTTGGGACGCGGTGGTCATTATCCTCCATAGTCTGTTGAATACAATATTAATGTTACAATTAAATGAAATTAAGTGAAGGACTTACAAATTTAATATGATGGGACCACATTTTCAATGAAAATTTATCAGCAAGTAACTATTAATTAGTTTGAATTATATATTTTTTTTCAAAGTTTTATTTTTCACGACTGCTGAAAGCTTAAACTGTTCGCACCCGATGTTTTATTCAAAACAAACTCTAGCTTGTTGATTGCGTGCTGATCCCGACAAACACCGACAAATATGTCTGAAATCGACCGCCTCGGGAATTAGAATTCCCATCTGGTAAATGTATACACCATACCAGAACTACCAACCTCTATTACCAACTATCAAGCTGAAATTACTACATATTTTTTTCTTCAATACAGCGATTACGTATGTACATGATGTTTATGAAGGATACATCATTTTATATGAATATGATACTATATCTTAATTAATACATGCATATTTATCATTGTAACCACTTTTAATTATGATGTCCAAACAATTGATGATGGACGGCGCAAACGCGATGATGGATGGCTTTGATCAATAACAGATTTAGCTTATATAACACTCATCTAAAAATTAAAAAGTACAAAACAAATTGACTTATTTTCTATAACATCCCTTCCAGGTTATTTGTATAATCTAAATGCTAAAATATATTTCGAAAACAATTTTTAAATAGCATTTTATTATTCATAATTTTATAAGAGAAGTAAATTGGATAAAATGTAACATTCAATAATGTTAAAACAATTATTCATTTTTTATTCAAAAGAAACAATATTCAATTACATAAAAAGTTATTAAAGTTGCCTATGGTAACATACCCTTTCAAAGTTTTTTTTTTTTGAGTATTACAAAATACTAGCAAATTGTAATACTGAAAATTTAAAAGATTTTTAATTTTCCTTATAAAAAATACGAGTTTGAATCATTTTATTACGTTATTATTTAAAAATTTTGATAATAAATTGTTTTAAATTTTTTAATACAAAATCCATGGTTACTGGGTTGTCTACATTAGAGTACAAAAAATATTTAAGTTTTATATAGATAGTTGTGTTGTCTATATTAAAATATGATTTTAGAAAATTTCAAACTGAAAATACAGAAGGAACAGTAACTTGAGGCTCGAAAACTATAATACATAGAATGAATACAAAAGATGCGTATGAAAGATGCATATGAAAGCTGAATATTTGGGGAATCTAGCAAG